TGCATTTTAAATGACTGCTTTCTGCACAGAACTCCCGGTGTCGGACTGTAATTTTAAATCCCCATTTATTGTGTTGTCGTGTAAGCAAGCCTCCTCCTTCACCAGAAACATAGCCGTCCCCCCCGCCTCCCAATTAAACTCTCAATTAAAACCAGTCGTGGGGCTCGTTTCGTGCCAGCATGCGGATCGGGGTGTTGTTTTTTTTTCTTTTCCACCGAGAGGATTTTTTCAAAATGACTCCCTTCTCCTCCCCCTCCTTTTTATTTTTATCTATTTTTTTTTTTTTTTTTTTTTTTTGTGATTTGAAATGGCCGGAGACTTTGAATAAGCTGACTTTTAGTGCATTCGCTCAGGAGCAGTCTTGCAGAGTGATCAGAAAACGTTTGCCCGTTTTATTCAATATCTTTTATGGGCAGTGGTAAGAGATTCTGATCCCACAGTTTATGGATCGTAGGAGTTGGAGTATGCGTTATAAAAATAATTTATGTAGTCACGGCTTCCAAAGGGAGGAGTTCGACTTCCATTCTTACCCAGAAACCGAATTTGTTAAGTTCAGACAAAATTAGGGCTTTGCGGTTTAAGTTTCTTTGCAGGGGTTTATTTCCGTCTCTCAATCCTTTCCGTCCATCCCAGTGACTCGTGCAGAGTGTAAGGTTTACGTGGTATGTATGATGCATTCCAGTTTCTGTCGGCTGCAAGTTATTGCAAATCCTGACCTTGTTTTCCTTGGCAAGGAGTAACCTTTTGGGGAAAATAACCTGCTTTTGATATCCTGGCTAAGTAAGAGGAGAGAAGAATAAACTCATAGGAGTCCTGTAACTTCCACAAAAGGTGATCGGCATGTTATGTGGGAAGCTCACATCGCTTTTGTTTCACACACGGTCGCCCCTCCAGCTGCAGGAACATCCCACGGAGGGTGGCTCCCACAGCAGTTACTTCTCAGTCTGGGGCTGGATGCCCACGGTCTTGGCCGAGCGCTCTGGGTCTGTCATCCTAGTGGCACTAGCCTCCTCCCGAGATGACTGCTCATCTCATCTCATCTCCAGACGCCACCCAGTCGGCCTAGGGCTTCCGTGCAGGAGTGTGGGATGGGCGGTGGGACACAGTCCAGTCCATAGCAAGCTGCCCCACGGTGTAAAAACATTAAAGGCGAACTTGGTTTATAAATATAAATACAAACGTAAAATCTTTAGCACTGGCCTGTGTAGGTCAGTTGGTCGGCGTGTGACCCCGGCGGGTTGGATTCCGGGTCAGGGAATGTAACTCAGGTTGCGGTTCCATCTCCTAGGGGTGAGTGTGTTTGGCAGCTGATGACTGTTTCTCACATAGATGTTTCTCTCTCTCTCCCCCCGCCCCCCTCCTCTCTAAAAATCAATTGAAAAATTAAAAAAAAAAACCTTCAAAATTTGAGGAGATGGCTCCCGTTAGATACATACATGTGTGTATAAGTTTAAAGACAGGTAGAGAGAGAGCAGCAAAGAAGACAGCCCTAGATTTTTAGTTGCCTTTGAACATCCCTTTTAAATGCCTCCATTTGAAAATACAGTTCTGAAACATCTAAACCACAATACTTTTCATTTTCACATCCACTAAACCCAAATTACTGAGCCATTTTGTGCATAATACTATTGATGATTCTAGTTACTTTTCTGGTATTTTTGTGTATGTTTCTGTTTTTGCCTTAATTTTTAAAAATAGAGCAGCTGTTTGTTTTTTCATTTATAAGAAATTTTATGTGACATTTAGCAAACATGCCCACTGTAGGTAACTTTCTTTTAGCAGCAAAGAATATAAATTAGTTCTCTATAATGTGGTTATTTTAGAGCTTTTTTAAATCACTGAAACAATATAAGAACAGGATTTTGTTTCTTGTAGTTTTTTTTTAACCTGTTTTGCCTGTAAAACATACAAACCTAAATACACTTTTCAAGAAATAAATTGATACACAATAAGCCATCAATAAACAAAATTTTGGATTTTTTTCTATTTATTTATTTTAAATATCTATTTT